CAGGAAGACCATGCACGCAACGTACGCTGAGACTCGGACTGAATCGACTCGAGCTCGTCCTTGCTGATGCTCACCTTATTGCCCATCTCTTGCTGTGCCTTCTTGTTCTCCGCAACAAAAAACTGCCGAAGGGGAATAAGTTGAGAAATGTAAAGAAAAATGACATTTCTTGGCGACCGCGTTTAATTCTTGGAATTTTTGTAGCAGAAGCCGTTGCGTTTAAAAATCAATCCATCAAACATTTGAAGTTAGAACCAAGCATAGATGGAGCAACGTTACCGTGCTGCTATGGTACCAACTTGCTCATTACCATTCATTTGTACAGGATATATTTTTGTTGTAATTTTTATTTATTTATTTATTTTCTTGGGCGGCAGGTGCTGGGCGGGGTGGGGGACGCGATTGGGTTCCGCAACGGCAAGTGGGAGTTCCTCAAGGACGGCCCCCGCATCCACGCGCAGCTGGGCGAGCTGGGCGGCATCTCTGCCCTCACGTACGCGCCTGACCACCACCTCGTCACCCCCCAAGCAAGCCAACTGTTGTGTTGCCCGCTGACTCTGCGGTTTCGAACACACCACAGAGTGAACCGAAGAGACTGGCGCGTGAGCGACGACACCGTGATGCACATCGCCACCGCCGAAGCCCTGGTTGACGATTGGGAAAGGTGTGTGCGGTCAGTGTGCCGTGTGCGTGTGCCATGTGCATGTGTGCGGCGCGTTCTCACTGAAGGAACGCATTTTCCTGGCCGCCGCCAGCATGAAGGATTTGGAAGACAAGCTGGCGCGCAAGTACGTGGCCTGCGGCAAAGACATGGAAGGACGAGGTATGGATGCCTCGCACACGCACCGCACACGCGCACCACCGCACACACGCACCACCGCACACGACGTGCGAACTAACTGATTGGCTTGTGTTGTGTGCAGCGGCGGGAGAGAAGACGATGGAGACGCTGATGATGATGGAGGGCATCATCCCGTTCGAGGGCACCCGCATCACACCCGTCCCCTGGAACCAGATTCCCTACGGTTCCACTGCCTTCTCCACGTTCTTTAGATATTTCAATAACGTTGTCGACAACGCTCACGACGTGTTTGTGGCCGCGTGGAGCGTCAACAGACCCCAAGGGCGGCGGCTGCGGCGGAGCGATGCGAGCCATGGTTCGTGTTTTTTCTTGACTTGGCTGGTCGTGTCATGTAGGTTAGTCGATTGATTACCATCGGTTGTCGTCTGTGTGGCGCAGTGCATCGGGCTGCGATTTCCGGGCGAGGCCAACCGCGACCGGCTCGTCGAGCTCTCCATCGAGAGCGGCCGCATGACCCAGTACGTCGTCTTTCTTTGGCCCGTTTTGTTTATAGATCGCTTGGAACTTACCGCGTGAATCACCACCTTCGCCATCGTCATCATTGTTGGCGGCATCGCCGTCATCAGCAACCACCCCGTTGGCTTCCTCGGCGCGTTCGCGTCTGCGCTGTTCACGGCGTTTGCTGTCGAGGGCCTGCCGCTGCCGAGTACGCGCTCTGCCGCAACTTCGTTCAGCACAAGTCTCACTGACACGCACACGCACGACCACACACGCACACGCCCGCACATAGAGTGGGGCCACGGGCTGCTCGAGCACTTGCCCAAGGCAAAGGAGTACCTTCAGGGCGTGGGCCGCGACGTTGAGCACTACGCCGAGGGCATCGATTACTTCGAGAAGGCCTGGATGAAGTACATGGAGGTACCTCGCAAAAATGAAACACGAACACACCGCGCACACCGCACACCGGCACACCATCACATCACAATTCTCGAACGACCGCAGGAGCGCGGTCTATTTCATAGCGACGTGCCAGCGTTTCCGGCGAGGTGGGGCGTGGTGGAGCGCGACGCCTTCTACAAGAAGCTCTCGTTCGACGGCTGGGGCGGCTCTTCAGGTCCCTGACCACCACTTCCCCCCGCGCGCGTACATCGCATTTGCTCACTTCTCGCTCTCAACCACCACCAGGCCACGACGCAGTGATCATTGCTTACGACGGTGCGACATTATTATTATTATTCTCATTATTATAAATAATTATTCTAATTATTATTATTTGAAGTGTTTGTTCTGTATTACAAGAGTGGCTCACTTTATATTTTTTGTTTTTGTAAATTGTTTGGCCAATCAGCCCTGCTGAGCGCAGGTTCGTCGTGGAATGAACTTCTGTTGAAGGCGGCCCTGCATGCTGGAGACTCTGACAGCACCGGCAGGTATGCAACACGCACCACACACACACACCGCACACGCACACAACTCCGCACATTCACACGCACCAACCACATCACATGAGTGTAACGCGGTGGATTGTTGCGACGGGCGCAGCATTGCGGCCTCTCTGTGGGGCGCGATTCACGGAATGCGCGGCGTACCGGAGAACCACTACCGCAACCTCGAGTACCGCGACCGCCTCGAGAACCTCGCCGAGCTGCTCTACCTCTTCGGCGGGTCCGAACTCCCCGCCGCCGCCGCCACCGCCTCCGCCGCCACTTCGGCGTCTTCGCTTCCTCTTCATCTTCATCGACGTCGTCGGCTTCGGAAGCGAGCGCGGCCCAGTGGGCCTGCGGGACGTGCACCTTCCTCAACGCCCGGCACAACGCCACCTGCGACATGTGCTCCGCCTCCCGCGGCTGAGCTGGTGTGAATGTGTACATAAAGTTGAAATATATTTTGCTGACGTCAGCACCGGTGTTGTGCGGTGGTGGCGAGGCACGCGAGCCAGGCCAACACGGTCTCCGGCCGCAGCACAGGCGTCGGCCGCTCGGATCGAGGCCAGGGCTCGGCGGCCGAGATGACGTGGGTCACGGGCGGGCCTTGTTGGCTGGCGTCGGCCGTGGCGAGTGGTGGTCGGCACACCACGCGCCCGCCGTGTTGGGCGATGCCGGCGGCTAGCCGGTCTCTCACGGCCGGCGGCAGGCTCTCGGGGTCGAGCCAGGCCACCATGGCCGCCACGCGCTTCTTGCAATCGAGCGTCTCCTTGTAGCAGCTCCAACACACCAGCGCCTCGTCCTCCCGATTGAAGTCTCTGCCAACTTAAGTTTCAGTGTGTGCGGTGTGTGCGGTGCGTGTGTGCGGTGTGTGCGGTGTGTGCGGTGTGTGCGGTGAAAGTTGATGGGGAGAAAGAACGTACAAGGAGAACAGGCAGTGCTCACAAACGGCCTCCTTCGTGCATCGCTGGCAAGGAGTAATCTCGTCGCTGCAGTTGTGGCAAGTCACCTTGTGGCACTCCTCGCAGCTCGTCGCGCACCTTCCCGTTGTGCAGGCCTGCGCAACGCCCGACGCATATCGATCAGCCCGCAAGTCGAGGCCTGATACCCGCACGAAGGGGGGACCGGTACCAGTTCGCAGCATTCCTGGCATTCACTGAACATCTGGGCCTCCAGGCGGTTCATCTCCTCCCGCAGCATCGTGCTCCCATAGCTGTCCTGTCGAGTGGTGGTTTGTTGGGGGGGGGAAGACAGGTCAGTGATTGGTGGTTGGTGGTTGGGTGGTGGCGGGCGGTTGGTTGGTTGGTGGGCGGTGTACCGCAAGCGACCGATAACAGTGCAGGCACGCGGCGAATTCGCTGGCGTGCGCCCAGATCTTGTGCTCGTACTCTTCTTGGGCTTGCAGCGCCCAAGAGAACGTGCGCTGATGATACAATCACCACACGCGACACACGACACGACACGACACACGACACACGACACGACCAACGACACGACACGCAACGAATGAGAGGGAGTTAGTAGTGGTTCAGCACACTATCAAGAGAGGCCAGGCCAAACCTGCGGCTCACATGGCCCGATGCAGGTCCACATGTCGGCAGACCGGAATTCGAGCGGCACGGGCTTCCCGGCCTTCTCCCACTCCCGCTCCGTGAGCTTGGGCACGTTGCCACTGCACCACCACACCACACGACCAACGACGCGCAACACGACGCGCACACGACACGACACCGAGAATGAGTGATGGGATGGTTGATCATGGCTGATTGCTGAGTGAGAGAGGCCGGGCGGTGTTACTGGGTGAAGGTCCCGCAGTTCTTGCACACCAGCGCTTGGCAGACCTGACATTCGGACAAGCAGTCCCCTGTAACGACGACACAAGGCCGTGAGACGAAGAAGAACGAAGAAGAACGAAGAAGAACGAAGAAGAACGAAGAACGAAGAGGAAAGGTCGGGCAGGTTGGAGAAGCCGATCTCAGGTACCGCAGGCGATGGTGAGGCACGCCGAGCAGAAGTAGCCGTCGGTGCTCTCGGGAATGGCGAATTGGATGAAGCCGTCGGGCCAGTGATCCACACGGCACACCTTTGGGGGGACACTCAGGGACTGTGGCACATGTTAACGTCGACCCAGGCGAGAGAGCGACGTACGAGGGGACAGTGGCGGAGCACGGCGTAGGGGAAGACCAGGTGCAGCTGGTGTTCCCCTACAACTTGCTGGCGCCCTAGCAACGACCTGTCATTTATTAGTAATTCATTTTAACAGTATTTAATATTTATCAAGATGATAAAAAAAGATAAATGATAAAACAAATCGAGAATAAATATATAAATACAAAATATGGGTTGGGATGACAGGGGAAGGCACAGCGGAAAGAGGCCGGTGAGGCTCTTGACCAGCAGGGAGTGCACGAAGCGGCGCACGAGCGCGGCCGGCAGAAGTTCCAGGTAGGGGGCAACGCGCTGCAGCTGGGCCAGGTCGAGGTCGCCACAGAGGGCCATCTCCTCGAGCTTGAGCCGGCACAGCTCCACCAGCGGCTGCACGAAGATGTGCTTGTCGTCGGCCAGCCTGGCCAGGGCGGCAAGGGGCGGGTGGCCGTCAACAAAGGCAGTCCATGCATCCATACGGGCCCACGCCCTCACCCTCTCGTCGCTCATCTCCGAGTAAACTCTCAACCAAACCAAACGTTGATCTTTTTTCTTGGAAGTGGTCCCTTTTTTACGGAGCAGAGGTCGTAGTTCAAAACACTGTGCAGTGCCTGTGTGACAAGTAAGCGTTGGTGGTATAGTGGCAGCATTGGTGCCTTCCAAGCACTAGACCCGGGTTCGATTCCCGGTCAACGCAACTCTTTTTCTTGGCCTTTTTTTTACCACGCTGAACTGTGCGCTCAGAGTTCCAGAAGAAGCAATGAACGACGCGAAGGAGGTGAGCATTGTGGGAGGGAGGAAGAGCCGTGCCATTCCCGTGCCCAGGTTGTCCAAAGACGTTGGAAAGGCCTCGACAAATCCAAACGCAACGAATCGCAACGCGAGTAGCGGCGCAAATCTCGCCAGATCAGATTCGAGCGAATGGACGTCGCAGGTTAATCGATTGCTTGACTGGATTGCGAACCGAGGCTCAAATTCACCTTCGTTGAGGGTACCGCGTTGTAGCGGCGGCCGAGGGACGTGGTCCAGGCGCGTCCAGGCGATGGATCAGGACATGAGGAAGTGGATCGAGAAGCAGAGGCAGCTGGCGCGCGAGGGCAAGCTGCCCAAGGAGCGCTTGGACGTGCTCGCTCTTGTGGATGTCCCCTTCGAACGCAGCTGCCGAGAGGAAAAGGGAATGGCCGTGGACGAAGACGAGGAGGAAGAGGAAGAGGAGGTGCAAGATCCCGACTACGATTCAGAAGCAAGCGATGAAGATTTGGACTCGTACGATACTCTCGAATCCAGCTACAGCGACTCTGCAACCGATTCAGATGATGAAGACGACAACGCTGAAGATTGGCAGGAAGGTATTTCTTTCCTTTCTTTTTATCTATTTCCTTTTCTTTTACTGACACTTCGGCCCCGCAGCCTCTGCGCCCTCTCCGGCGACGGCAACCCAACGACCTCGAGCCTCCCAGACTTCGTCGACGTTCCAGGCCCTGAGCAGCAGGCGCCGGGGATTGTTCGGGAACAGCGCGAGGCGAGGCACGCCACCCGCGACGTCAACCGAGCGGACCACCACCAACTCAACTGCGACGGTTGGCGCGAAGAAGCGACGACGGGACGATGACGCCGCCAAGCCTTGCTTGCCGCGATCGCTGCAGGGATCGTCCAGGCGGAGCCACTCGGCGAGCTCCTCTCCGTTGAAGAAATGGAGGACCTCCTCGCCCGACAGCGCGGACGACATCAGGCCTGTCCCTGACGGCCACAACCGGAGCGAGCGCGACCGTAGGCGTGGCCGTCGAGCGCCGACCGAACGAGGCGAGAGCGGTACAGCTTCGGTGGAGGAGAGCCGCCACTTGGCCGCCGCCGATGCCCACGCTGAAGAAGAGTTCAGCAGCGCCAGCGACGACGAAGCAGACGACGACGATAGCAACCCGCTGGAGGAAATGTCGACCCTGATCGCCAAGGCCATGTACCTCGAGTCTATCCTCGATTGGATCTGATCGACACGACACACGTACACACGACACAACACATGTACACACGACACACACGACACACGCGGATAGATGGAAGAATTCATTAACATACAGAGTCCGCACCATTGGGGGCTAGGAGTAGTCGGCGATGACGGTCTGGAAGGCTTGGACGGTGGTGAGCACGCCCATGGCGAGGCCGAACACGACGATGAGCGAGTGGAACGCCCAGTGTGCGGCCTCGCGCACCCAGTAGCGCACGCCGCTCCGTCGCTCGTTGCCCCTGCGCCCCTGCGACGTCTGCTGCATCCACAGCAGCCACTTCGTCCCGCTGTCACGCTTCGCCTCGCTGTCCTCCCTCGCCCGGTACTGCTGCTGCCCTCGCCCGCCATCACCGCCTTCGCCTTCACTGTCGCTGTCGCCGCCATCATCGTCGCCGTCGCCGTTGCCGCTCGGGCCAGCGCTGTCGCCGTCGCCCTCGGCGTCGCCGTTGCTGTCGATGCCGTAGGCCGGCCTTCGGCCGCTGAAGAGGCCTCGTCGCTCGCCCTTCACGTCGGCACCTCCTCCCTCCTCGTCCAACCCTCGCCCATCATCGCCTCCTCCTCCGTCATCGACAGCGTCGTCGTTCTGTCGTCGCTGCTGTCGCTTCTTCTTCGCGGTCTTCGCGGCGTCTCGCTTGCGCTTCTCTCTTCGCTCCCGGCGCGCGTCCTCGTCGCGCTGCTCCTTGAGGTCGTAGACGCTCACAAAGCCCTCGTTCTTCTCCCGGTACCGCACCCGCATGTAGATCAGCGTCGGCAGCACGAACGAGTTCATGCTGTTCGAGATCCCCACGATCAACCCCACCAGGTCTGCACACATCATCGTCATCAGTGCGCGTGTCGCGTGTGTGTCGCGTGTGTGCTGTGTGTGTCGTGGTACGTGCCTATGACGTTGGGGATGGCGCAGGCGAGGCCGACGATGGCGGCGATCATGCCGGTGCGCACGAGCACGCGCTCCCAGTGGGGCACGAGGTCGTCCGCTTCTTCCTCCCGCGGCTCCGCGCCATCATCCGCGAGGCCCAGGCCAAGGCCGCGGTCCTCGCTCGTGACGAAGTGGTCCTGCTGCGTGCTGTAGTTGATGCTGCCCACGCCGCCGCCGCCGATGCCTCCGCTGTCGGCGCTGCCCAGCCGCACGTAGGCGCCGGGTGGGAGCAGGTAGCCCGCGCTGTCGACGCGGCCCGACGACGACGCGAGCGAGGTCGACGGCGAGGACGACGACGTGAGCGACGCGGCCGGCGATGAGCGCGGCGTCGACACGAAGAGGGTGGACGAAGTGGTCGAGAGCGAGGGCGACGAGACGAGCGAGGAGGAGGGCGAGGGCTCGAACCGGCCCACGCGCCACCAGTGCCACAGGCCGGCGCGGCCCAGGATGGACTCCTCGACCACGGTGCGGCACGGGACGAAGACGATGACGAAGGTGAAGACCAGGTCGAGCACGAGCGCCACCTTGGCGATGGTGACCGAGACCGACTGGCCCAGGTTGTCGATCACGATCTGCTGCACATCGTCACCGAAGAACATGTACGCGAAGCTGGCAAACACCACATTGCCTACACACACACACACACACAACCGCACACGCACGATTGCTAAGCATTGAATGTGTGGAGGAAGACAGACCGCGAAGGCGAAAGGAGGAGTGCATACCGATGGTGGTGATGAAGAAGGCGATGTGGAGGGAGGCGTTGAAACGCTTGGGCTCGCGCATGGAGCTCTCGATGGGGAAGAGGTACATGGTGATGGAGAACAGGAAGGCGGCCGTGCCGAAGAACTGCGGGTAGGTCTCGATCCGGATCACCGGCATGTTGAGCGGCGAATCGATGAAACCGCCGTCCTTGAAGCCGTACACAAACACCACCGCCACCCCTACACTCAAATCGAATTAGTGCCATGCGTGTCGTGTCGTGTCGTGTCGTTGCGTGTCGTGTGCTTACCGAGGACGAGCGCGGCATCGCCGGCGACGGAGGTCAAGCCCACGTAGGAGAAGGACTTGATCCACGAGAGCAACACTTCGATCGCGCCTGTGTCGGCAGCGAGGTGACAAGATTTAGATGATGAAGAAGAAAGACGAACGGCCTTCCCGGGAGGTCGCGGCGGCGGTACCGATAATCAGGACCCACTCCAGCACAGTCAGACGGTCGGCGATCGCATGTAGCAGATCACCACTACACACACACACAACAAATACAAATAAATAATAAATAAATAAATAAACCACAGTTGTAACCGAGAGGTGGCGTGTGTGCGTGTGTGCTGCGTGAAGACTGACAAGGGTACCAGAACACGACGTAGACAGCGCAAGCACCCAGCCCTTGAATCAGTAGAAATACATATGACATTCTTCTCTGCGAAGACGCCAACAACATGGAGTAGGAGTATAAGTTGCGTGTCGTTGGTCGTGTAGTCGTGTCGTGCGATGAAAGAGGTGTCTTACCACCCAGAGACCAAAGGTGGCCTCGGCCAGGTCGGGATAGGCGATGGTCCGACCGCCGAAGAGCTTCCGCTTGCATTGGATGACCCGGTAGTCGATGTAGTCGCACAAGAGCCCGAGCACCAGGATACCAATGGCGCCGCCCCACAGCCCAGCTGCCTCACAACACACAACACACAACACACAACACAACACACAACACGCATGGCGCTCATGAGTGTCGCGTGATGACATTTCGAAACACCACAGCACGCGACACAGCGTGTGACACGCGCAACACAACACGCAATGCATGTGGTGGCGGACCTTTCTTCAGGCCGTAGGGGAGGAAGAAGGAACCGGCACCCACCACGCACTTGATGATGCTCACGCACGCGTGCAGCGCCGACGTTTGGCTGCACACCCAAGAGGAGGCGTTATTGTGTGGTGTTAATCATCCAATATCTATTAAAAAGTCAGCAACTGAAGGGAAAAAGACCGAACAAGCAAATACAACAGATCAAGAATAATACAAGGCGAAACTGGACAGCTACATGGGGCGTAAATCGATCGTGGATGAGGGAAATGGAAATGGAAATGGAAAATCTCGGTGCGGAATTTTGTAGGGCCAAGAAGGATGGGTACCCGGTGCGCGTGGGGCCATCGTCGCTCGCTTCATCCTTGCCTCCACAAAGAATTCGCAGGCACCGCCGGCTCATGCCTTGCGAACGCAACGAACCGCTTTACTCAGGCGAAACCCAAAAATTTCAGCCAAACGAAAACGATTACAAAGCAATAGGGAAAAACGAAACGCAACTGGGCAAGTTTGCTTGGGCAACGATTCGAAGAAGAAAGACGGGAGTCAACGGGTCCGAGGGAAAGAAGGGAATGGAGCAGGTGGGAATGCCCAAGATTCACACCTGCACCACGCCAAGCACCTCTCGATCTCCAATTTCTAGACGAGATTATGACATTGCCGAAGAGGAAAATGCGGCAGACGAAAATGGGCGGGGGGCGCTCGATGATGATGATGATGATGATGGAGGCCTAGAACACGACGACCTTGAAGTCCTCGAGCTTCACCATTTGCACCACGAGCAGGACGGCGATTCGGACCCCACGGCTCGATACCTGAGGGCAGACGATGACGAAGTCGATGTTCGAGCTCTCGCCCATGTCTACGCCAACGCCGACGACGAAGGAGAAGGGTACACTGTAGAACAACTCAGCCGAGACGAAGACACCTCTTCGTCGCAAGAATCGAACCTCGACCTTGCGCGTAGCGGCCCCATTCCCATCAACGTTCGTGACCAATTCGACGACAGCGTGGATGACGACGACGGCCTGCAGCTCTGCAATACCTCCTACGAGGCCGAGGTAGAAGAAGACGAAGACGAAGACAAGAACGTATCAGCCTTCATCTCTCCAGACGCTTCAGAAGCTGCCCGCCAAGATGAAACCGCAGCAGAAGATGAGGGTGGAAGCCGCGGCGAGACGACGCGTAGCATCATGGCCCGCCTCGCCATCAAGCTGGGCAAGCAGCCCGACGACGTCCTCCCCTTCACCCTCCAGCTCGAGAAGGAGTGGCTCCTGACCCGCCAGCAGCTGCGCACGACCCTCGCCAGCGACGACGACGCCGTCTTCCACCGCCTCCAGTTCCCGCTGGGCCTCGTCTTCGCGCTCAAGGAGGAGCTGGGCATCACCGAGGGCGACGTGCCCAACATGCTCAAGTACAAGGTGCTCAAGAAGCAGATCGAGCAGAAGCAACTTCGCGCTGGCAGCGGCAACGGCGGCGGCGCCGGCGGCGACACGGTGGACAAGGACGGCAGCCCGGGCGGCGGACGCCCGGGCGGCAGCGTGGCGGGCCGCAAGCGCAAGCGGCTCACGGTGGCGGACTGGCGGGAGAAGGTGGAGCGATTCGCGCTGGACACCCAGCACGCCCCGAGTCCCTTCCGTGCCACCTCCATCTTCCAAGTGGAGTGTTTCTGTTGCGGCTATGCCGTCAACATGAACAAACCAGGTATTGCACGTTCACGCACGCATACGACACCACACACACACACACACACATCACATCACACGGTGCACGGCTGATTGTGCGTGTGTGAATGGCGAAATGTTGGCAGGCCAATTGTATTATTTGAGGAGGCACGTGGAGGGCGTGCGGCCGGACATACGGATGAGCAATCACACCAAGAACTATCGGCGCTGGCAGAGACAATACCAGGCGGGCGTCAACATGGACGAGGTGCGTTCATGACCGTTCACCTCCGCGTTCTCTCATCGCAACTGTAGTTCGTGATCCTCATCGTCGTCGTTGTCGTCGTTATGCTGATTAATTGATGTGCTGCAGCTGCCGCCACTGCCACGAGAGCCGAAGAAGCAACGAACAGCACAGAGTACCGCGGGCAACGAGGAGGCCAACGATGAGGGGCTGGAGCGGGCCGAGTTCAGCGCCGGCGCTGACGAGGAGGAGCACAGCGAACGCGAGACCTCACCCACGTCCTCCTCGTCGTCGATCCCCACCTACGCCCCCGCTGCGCACCCGGAGCCCGGCGATGGCCACGGCTCCCCGGGGAGCGCCGTCCCCTCTGGTGCCGAGCTCGACCTGGTCGACCTGGCTCACCTCCAGCACCACGGCGACCACCACCAGCCGCTTCCGCCGCATCGTCACCATCTCACGCAGGTGGCGATGGAGCACAACCCGCACTCGTTCCACAACACGATCATCTCGGCGCCGCTGCCGTCGCTAGTGACCCACGCCGCGCCGCACTCCATGAGCCACCTGCTCTCGCCGCACCATCAGCACCACCTCAACTCCTCGCCGCCCCAGCCCGCGCTCTTGCCTCTTCTCCACAACCTCCAGCCGCACCAACATCAACATCACCAGCATCACCAGCATCAACGTCATCCGCCTCAGCATCATCACCACCACCAGCTCCTCCACAGCGACATGGCCGTCATCATGAGCGCTGGCAACGGCTACTCCTTGCCACCACTCCTCTCCACTACACAACATCATCACCACCACCAACAGCCACACCACCAGCCCCCACTGGACAAGGACTCCTCGTTGTAGATAGAGATCAGCTGGTGGAGGTGATGGAGACATCCAATCATCAACAGCCAACAAATGTAATATTGTACAGTATACACTGCCACATGTGAAGACTTTGGTGTAGTGTTGTGTGATCACCTGTCAGTGTCGGGCACTTTCGTTGTTGGCGCGGTTGTGGCTCGCCGCTTTTCGGCCGCGGCCACGACGCTTCGGGAGAATGTGCTCCGGAGCGTGATCCAATTAGACAAAAGCGTTGGCGTTTTATTACGCGCTATGCCCGGAATGCTGGCGCACGTCTTGAATGGAGGTTTGAGCAACCACGGCAGAGCCAACACAAAGCCCACAGACCTTTTGCATTCTCACGCTTTCAGGAAACAGGTGACCACATACACTGCCCTTCTTTAACTTGCAGCTCCAGCGCCCCAGGCCCTCTGCTTGAAGTGATGGTACGCGTACCACCTTCGCCCTCCCCACCCAACTCTCCTGCGGCTTTCTTGTTGTGCCCGCAAAAGGGTAATTGGGCTTTTTAATTATGAATATAATAAATTATGTAATTATTTATTATTTTATATTTATGTGTACTTGAACAGGGGAACAGCAGCAGTGCAGGTCCCATACAACTGCCAGCACAGGTCACCAGCCAAGACCTGGCCCAAGTCTGGGTCCGTTGCTCCTACGTTCCTAGCACCGACCGCACGCACCGCACACGCACGATCGCACGCACCGCGCCGACCGCACTCACCATTCGGTTTCTTCCTCTCAGGATCGGTACGACAAGCGCAAGAGCGGAGAGCTGAGCTCCGCCAAGGTCCACAAGTTCATGAAGGACCTGGCCCACGTGGCCGGCCTCAAGTACGACAAGGCCGAGGCCGACCGTCTCATCCGCTCCGTCGTCGACCACCCCGACACCGCCGCCGCCGGCGCTTCCACTCAGCCGCAGCCCAGCAGCAGCAGCGGCAGCGTGCCCCGGAGCCCGCGCAAGCAGGAGGCGGCGGAGGGCGACGTGCGGGTCGACTTTGAGCGCTTCCGGCGGCTGTTCCTCGTCGTGCTCGAGAAGGAGCGCGAGCAGCAACAGCTGCTGCTGCAGCAGAACGAGAAGCAGCAGCAGCAGCACGTGAAGCCTGCGTCGGCAGCGCTGCTGGGCAGCCGCAAGCTGAGGAGCCACCACCAGGCCAGCAAGA